GGTAAGGGGCTAGGGAATGCATTATGTCAATGAGTGTCCTCACAACTATTGAGAGACATGCATGCATGTGTGTGCAGGATCGCTCAGCTCTGGTGATGCTTTGGGCTCTATCAATTTCGATGATCAATTAATTGTTCCTCCATTTTTGAAGAGCTGTTTCAACCTTGTTCCTGGATTTCTCAGAGAGTAATTCATTGATCTTGATGAAAAGTCTTTTCGTCACATTAGCCACAACAGTTAAATATCTTAGCATGGTGTTTCACTCAATGCAACCAGAAGGAAAAAAGAAAGGGGCTAAAACATGATGAATTTAAACGTGTTTTCATGAAGGGATTGTGGTGGAGGTGTGCACTCCACTGAGAACCATCCTATTTATATTTTAAGATTATTGATTTTTTTTATTATAATGAAGAAAATATTGTTGGTGTGCAGCTTTAGATCACATGACCTGTGCTATGTCCAGATGAATGGAGCATCAGAGGAAATTGTGCTGTTTTTATTTCCTGGACCCGCCTACATCACCTCCCCTCCCCTCTCAGGACCCCCGGCGGTCCCCGGACCCCACTCTGCGGGCTCCATGCTACTATTGTCTACCAGGAGAGCGGGCTATTTGCAAAATAAAGGTGTCCTCCTGCCTCGGCTTCAGCCTGATGCATATACATGTGAGCGGGGCTGGTTTGTAAAGCGGAGCAGCGCTGAGAGGAGCGGGGATTAGTGGCTCGATCAGCGGCAGTCCTCGCTGTGTTTTCCCCCTCACGGAGCCGCGGCTCCTCGGCGGTCGGATGCTGGGAGTTCTCGCCGAGCAGAGAGCGCGCAGGGCCCGCAGAGAAAGGAGCAGGGACACGGAAGGAAGGAAGGAAGGAAGGAGAGGGCAGCGGCATTTTAATACCAAATCAGGACACATGTTGAGCTAACGGCCCCTCCACCCTCCTCCTCCTCCTCCTCCTCCTCTTCTCCTCCTCCTCCTCCTCCCAAATGCATTTGTTGCCTCAATCGCTGTCCCGTTTCTAATTACTGCGCGTTAAGGATAAAACCAGCGGAGCTCCTCTCCTGGCCTCTCCGGGCTGCGAGGATCCTCTCACCGCGGCTGCTCGGACCATCATGGATCTCAGTAAGATTGTAAGTGCTCAACATTATTGCAAACACAACACACACACACACACACACACACACACACATCGAGGGTCTGCATGTGTGTTTGGAGGTGGGGGGTGGTGTCCAGGAGGTCCTGTTGCGCGCACACACACAGTTTGTGCGGACACATGGAAGTTGTGCTCGATGCAAGCAGAGACTTGTTGTGTGCAGCCGCACTGAAGGTGAAGGTTTTATTTGTTGTTGGGGAGAAGAAGGTCTTAGGACATCCTCTCTATGTGCTTTGTAAACTGGGGCTCAAGGTCCCACTGAAGGTTTAGATCCTCTTTCATTTACTGGGAGATTCAAGGATCACAGGTTTCTCTACAGCAGGGGTGGATCTAGGATTTCTCTAAATCGGGGGGCTCAGAGGGGCCAATTCAATATCCATGTAATTCCTGATTCAGTAAGGTGCACATTTAAAAAGGCTACATCTATATGACTATGTTTTCATTTGAAAACAGTGCTTTCAATCCTTTAATCCCCGTCTATACTAACATGTCTGCAATGGGACATAAAACTCACATATATGTGCGATGCTTTGAACAATAACCTGTCTCCTTAGCAGTTGTATCATTGCAAAATGCAGAATTTAACTGCATAACAGCTGTTAGCAAAGAGGGGTCAAGGGGCAGACAGGGTCAGCAATGCTTGTAATTGATTATCCATGTTGTGTTCCACACCGGTAGTCGAGGCTAATGCCGGATAGTTTCTTCCGGAAGGAGGTCATGTGATAGGAGCTCAACAAATTGGCGAAATCTAAGTTGTTGTGAGTGTCGGCGTAATCCCTTTGAAACATCTCAGTTTCTGTCGGTCCAGACTAAAATGCTTCTCTGGAATTTTCAATCTAAAACGGAGCCAGCAGCATTTCCAAACTTCTGCATCCATTCAGCCCATCTCTCTTGGGGTTATAAGACATCCCTATCCTACAGACACGTACAGCTTCTTCCAGGATTACACCAACAAAACATGTGAAAAAAAGAAGGGAAAGGAGTAGATTCAAAAACCAGTTTAAAAAAACCTTGTTTAAATTAACTTTAAAAAGAACAGTTTTTCTTTTTTCATATTCTCCAAATATTTGGCTAATTTATATGTTTCATACACCAACAGACAAGTCAGTCTTTGCACATCATCCATATTTACAAGATCAATATTTTTTTATCTGACAAAACAGAGCTTCACACAGTTCACAGTAAAGAGGACAGTAGAAAAAGTCTGAGATGTTTGATTGTATATATAAATTCAAGCAATATTATTATTATTAGATGTTCTTCTCTGTTGGCCACAGCTTTCTGTTTTGTTTGGCTCAGTGTGCAGCTGCAGGTTGGTGAAAAAGGTTCAGCAGCTCAAATGTGCCATGAATGTCAATTACAGGTTGTATTGATGTCAGTGGGCGACAAACCTAAAGGCACACAGTAGCTGCTTTCAGACATGCACTGGACTCCACAGTTCGTCCGTATTTTCTCCGGAGGAGGTGCATGTGTCGACTCAAATGTCCGAGTGAGACAGCTCCACAGTTTCTATGGACTGTATCCACCTGGCCTCTTAGTTTAATGTCCGCAGAAATCCAGGAGACGTTGATGTGTGATCACAGCAGGATTCACCTCGGGGGCTAAACTACATGGCCAGAAATTTGATCATGATAAAAACGTTCATATCAGTTAATATTGATAATTATCACAATCAGTGTCACAGTATAATTGTTATTAATATTATTATTATTATTATTATATAATTAAAGACAGAATTTTGTGAAGGAGTATCAGGGACATAATGAATGAAAAGAAAAAAGAGATTTCATGAATTATGTTGTGATGGAATTTTAATATTACAAGAATTTAGTTGCAATTGAGAATAGTTGCGATATTACAACAATAAAATCGTAGTATTACGTAGTTTTACAAGTCAAGGTCTCAAGCTTTTTCTCCCATTTAAGTGTCCATAGTACCGTAACAGGAGTTTTTCTCCTGAGTGAAGGTTGTTAAACTCTTCTTTATGAGCAGAGAAGGAAAAATACCTGATAAACTGCAAAACATTTTACTCATCTGATTTAGAAAAATCATGTGTTATATCTCCTCACTGTTCTTATACAATATATAAACAGTATATCAGTTTATATTGTACTTTTGTGATATTGCTATTGATGAGATTTATATTGTGATAATTATTATTATTAACAGTTTTTATCGCTCAGCCCTAACTGGGTTACACATATTAAAGAGACACAGGTTGTCACATCACAAGCAGATCAATAAATATATTTTTACACATTTAAAGGTTGAACATTTATTTCTACTGTGACTCGGAGTGCTCTGGAGGATGTGTTCGAGGCTAACAGACAGGCTGAAGTGTCCAGCGTGCATCGCAGCAGGTGCACACAAGCCAAAGCAACAAGACCGGCCTTTCACTGCCAACATGGATGGATGGGTGTACTTTGAGCCCTTGTGTAGGTGTGGGGGAGGGTGCATGGGTGACATGAAAGCACAGCCCAGAGTCCCCCTTTTTTCTTCCTCCAAAGGTCCCCAGCAAAGGGATGGTCAGAGAAATTTACGGAGGAAATAAAAGACGCAGCTCACATAGATGGTGGGAAGAAGACGCACCAGATGCACAGTTTTGATAGTGAAACAGGAAAATCACTCTGGTCTGTGAAATAGATCTCAGCTGCCCACATGAAGTCAGCTGGGCCATGTAAGCGCAGACATGGCGTAGGTGTACAGTGATGGAAATTGTCCTCCAGTGGATCCTCATTCATTTGCACTGATGAACAGATTATTTCAAACCTCTTGGCGTTAGTGGGAAATCGTTAGGTGTAATAAATCTCCTCAAGGCTGCCACCATGTTTTGGCTCTTTTGGCACGGAGTGAGGCAGAGTGGTATGAAAACAAAGCTCGGAAGACTCTGTGAAAGGAACCTCTTTTTTCCCACACTGCACAGAAGTTAGTGACGCATAAAAGAATAAGAAATAGATAATAAACGTTATTTTTATGGCACTTTTTCAACAGATTAACAAATTGATTAACAGACAAAAACACAGAAACTACTTGAGATGTTCTGATACCATTTTCTTGTCCCCATACTGATTCTGATACCTGGACTTTGAGTATTGGCCGATGCCTAGTATCAATCTTATACCCGTACTTTTAACAAATATAAACTTATTTATGTATTTTAGCTGTGTTACTAACCCTGTATGTAACTGATGGCTCAGCTTAAACCCTGTGAAAAACAAATACAGGTTATGACATAGAACATCTTTTATTATCTAGTTTGACAGTTATGATCGAAATAGTCCACAAATAAATCGAGACGTCATTGTCGAATTTATTGTGTTGTTTGAAAGCTGTTTCAAAAGTTTGCTGCTGCAGTTGGTCTGTTTTTTCCTTCGTCTCAGTCGTCTGATGGCTCTACAAATACTTTATGAGATGCTTGTGATGCAACTTGCAACACTAGTGCCACCCCTCTAAACTGAAGCCTTACAGACCGTACACATCAATGTTTTACTTGTGGGACTTTCCAGCATGAAATATGGCCAACTTGTCATAGTTGAATATTTGCTGGTTTTACGTAATCTTCTGTGATTGTAAATTAAATCTCTTATTTAAGTTTTGGATGGAAGTTCGATTAGAAAATATGAGAAAACAAAATTGTCAGTTCAGCGACTTCAAATCACAATTCTGAATACCTTAACTGAAACTGAAAATAAACATCAGTTGCAACTTTAAACTGAAATGCAATACAATGGAAATTATTATGCTCGCCATTTATACGTCACCATGACATCACAGTCGTACAAGAAGCTGAGGCTCCTTCACATGAGGCTACAGAAAGGAAACTTATTAGGTGTGTGTGTGTGTGTGTGTGTGTGTGTGTGTGTGTGTGTGTGTGTGTGTGTGTGTGTGTCTTCAACCAGCTGTTGCCCTCCACCTCCGCCCACAGGAAGAACAGAAGCCCAGTGCTTTGAGATCACTTACTCCAAATTTCCTGAACCTCCATGTTTTAATGGGCTCTTCAGAGACGGCGTCATCCCGCTGGGCTTATCTGCATCACCAAATGCCCTGTTATTCAGAAGACTCCTGGTGCGTTCTGTGGAAAACAAGCTGCAGGTTACAGACTGAGAGGCTTGAATGGGACTGACAAATCATTTCAGCCCATCAGCTTTCAGGCTGTTGATTATGATTAGACTGATAAATGTTTATGAGCAGAATTATCATCAATTGCAATGCAGATTCTGTTCAGATCAATACGCAGACTGCCTCAGTGAAACCTCCATAACATGACCTTTTTGAGTTTGTTATTTTCCCTCTCCCACTCGGGTCTTTCCCTTTGAGTGCATTGAATTACACAGGAAAAATGGCCCTTCTTAAAAAAGACCATCTTTTTTCCAGTCAGGCTCGTTCACAAGAGGTGTGGAGTGACTGTTCTGTGAGAGCGGATGTTCATGTCAGATGCAAAAGCTCCTTAAACAAGCTCTTTTCATAGGAGTGACCTTTTGATTTGGGTGGAGTTACTTTTGGAAAAATGTTACGGCTCAAAATGTCTTTCCATTTATTATCTGATTAAAAAAAAAAGAGCATTTGTGTCATTTCATGCTGTTGTATCATGTGGTGAGGGAGGGTGGGTATTTGTGTGAAATGCTCTGTGGAATAAGGCTTTGCTTTTGGCTTCAAAAGTTCAGTTTGGGAACCGTCAGGGGAGTTGTGTTATTTTCAGTTGTATTTTTAGTTTGTGAAACAATGGAGCAACTAGTTTGTGAAATACATTGTGAGAAACAGCGATCCCATAATTTTCCCTTTTCAGTGTAAATCTACCACAGCTCAGTGGAGCACCTAGTATGTTTTCAGCCCATTGTTTTGGTTTTACTCGCTGTTACAAAGTCACTGTCAACAAGTTGACCAATTAGCAGCTAGCGTGCTGGATCTATCTCTCAGGAGATGGTAGAGACCAAAATAGAGCATGAATATTGGATTTACAGAAATTTTAATAATTGC